CACTGATGAACCGCGTCTGGTCCATGGACCATCAGGATTTCAGCCAACATGCCGATGTAATATATTATCCGTTTTTATGCATTTTGTAATCTTACGCAAAACCAATAAAAGAACATGTTAAGGGAAGATGAGAAGGTGAATCCGATAGGAAAGGTATACCTTACTAAACAGTGAACCTGGTGCATAATGTTGATGTATTCCCTTCTGGGTTGAAACCCATACATTAGTTTGTCAAGGATGTAGTTGGCTGCCAGATGGGAATTGTGGTTTTAGGGCATAGCTACTTCAATTGGTCCATACAGAAGATGATTGGGCCAGATTAGGCGTGATCTGTTGGGTGGAGCTGCACAACACAAAGAGGAATACATTACACTTTATGGGGTCCTACGAAAGGTTTGAAGGAATTACAAGCATATTGTCAACTTTGGAAGAATAGTCCTGGAACTCACATTGGATGACTATTGCTAGACATGGGCATCTTTGCTGCATCGTTGCTACAATCTTGGTGTTATACCACTTGTCATGACACCAATGTCTCACCTTTTTACCTCTCTAGAATAGTGCCAGACCTCAACTTGATAGGACTTGAGATTGCCATTGGTTTGGTCAACGGAAATCATTTCGTCCAGGTTATAACATAAACTTAGAAATTGGTTTGGTGCAATGTACAAGAAAGTATATGAGGTATGACCGCAATCAATTGATATTTGGCTGCAGGTTTTGTAACAGCCAGGCCATTCCAGTTCCTCCTATAGCCACTAATGGCGAAAATACCGTCACTCCTGCTGCTGTCAACGGGATGATGCATATGTGCGCTTCGCATCAACATTTTTAAGGACATATTCAATGATAGTAGCACTCGAGAGACATTTGATATTTGTTGATGTCGCATGACACATGTATGCATTTGATAATGTCAATTATGAAGAAATTAATGGATGTGTTTTTGATGTTTGTCGTGTTTTGTTTGCAATCTGGTAGATTGAAATTTATCGACCATTGTTACCAAATTTCCATTGTAATAAGAAATATCATTACAAATCAACGACCATTGTTACCATTACTATTCTAATAATAAAAGTCATTTAACAATGTCATTACAATACGTTGTTGCCATATCCATATCTAGTAAGAAAATATTAACCACTGTTTACATTACAAACAATTCATCTTACAAAAAAACACGCAAAAAAAATTCAACAACTAACAGAATAACATGTCACGATATCAGCTGTATGCCTATGCCTAGAGCTACGACTGATGTCAATTGTCGAAGATGGAAATCGACATTCCAGTATAAACTAGGTCCAGGCAGAACTAGGTTCCTCCAGCTCGTCAATGTGCAACTTGAAAGGACTGCGTTTCATACCTCGATAGCCTAGTAAAAGTCGATAAGGATGTCGAATTCCCCTTCCTCATAAAAACCAGCAGATCAATTATAGGATGTGAAATTTGCAGGCATGTGCAAATACGCTGGCATTTAAAAAGAATATGCACATTTTAGGAAACATATCAGAAAATAAAAAGTAGTGAC